TTGCAGAAAACATACGTTTTTACTTGTATGATGTCACTCCTTGTGTTTCCTGCCAGAGAATGCTGGGAATTCCAAGGGACAGTTTGCGTGGCCCTGCTTGTCCTGGTTTGTTGAGCACTTAGAGAGAGTGCCATGCAGCCCAGGGGCTGGGCCCAGGTGCGCTCCGGGGTCAGGCAGGGCTCAGGCGCATGTCCTTCTCTCTCTCAGGCCGGATCTTGGACCTGAAGACGGGGACCGTCAAGAAGGAAGGGCAGCAGTCGTCCATGAGGATGTGCATGGGGTCGCGGAGGTCCTTCATCTGCAGGATGAGGTCTGCGTGGGGCCCCGCGGGCTGAGGCTGGGCCGGCCACCCTGTCCTGCTTTGCCATGGAGCCTTGGTGGGCTCTGTGCAGACCCCCCCAGGCTGGCACAGACCTCCTGCTGGGGCCTCTTGGCTGGGGCGTGGGAGCCCACCGACTCCTGGGTCTGACTGGGCAAACCTTCGGATGTTCAGAGCCTGGGGTGCTGCGAGCGGCTCCCGGAGAAGGCGCCTTAGAGACCAGGGCCCTCCTCTGTACCCGCTGGTCCTCAGCCCCAGCAGCGATTCCCAGGGCCAGGGCGGGAGGGAGAGTTTGCACGGCCAGGAAGCTGGAGCCTATGAAGGTGCCTCTGTTGACCAGCTGGCAGCATCCGCTCTGAGTTGCTGTCTGCTCAGGCCTGAGAGGCCGCATGCTGTGGTCATGCCTCCCTTGTGTCCTGAGAGCCGGCCAGTCACCCTGAGTGGTCCGCGGGACTGAGCACGAGCAGGGCCCTCCTCCAGCCTTCCCATAGGTCTCCCTTCTGGGCTGGGTCCCGAGACAGTTCCGGTACATACTGCAGAGCGGTCACACTGCCGGTGATGTCCGGAATCTGGGGCACGCAAGCCCACTTCTCTGTGCCCGAAGGAGATTGCTGTAGGGCCACCTGAGAAGGTGTGCAGGCAGCAGGCAGGCCCACCCTCCTGACTGCGGCACTGTGTGTCCAGCCAGCTGCCCGGGTCTCATTCATTCTCACTGTTTGCCAAATCCTAGGTGTGGAAATGCTCCTCTGGACCACCTTCCTCTGAGCAGAATCACCACCATGAGAAAAAGGTTCAGGTCAGTAGCCTTTCTGCTGTGTTGTGGGCTCTGCTGTGGACAGCTGGCCTGTGCCAAGCTAGGGAGTAGCCGGGCCTGCAGAGGGCCTCCGCATCAGGGTGGGAGACATGCATATCCAGGCTGCAGCAGGGCGATGGGGAGGGCGCTGGGCGGGGTTTAGTTTAGTCTCTCAGGCCTGGGTGGAGGAGGGAAAATGGGACAAGGTGGATGAGTGGACCCAGTACTCAGATGCCAAAGGGTCACAGACTGAGGCCTGGGGGTCCAGCACAGGCCCACGGATGCTCTTTCTTTAGGAACGGCCTCGGACCTGTGAAGGAGGGAGAGGCGCAGTACGCTGTGGTGCACTGCACGGGGTACATCAAGGCCTGGCCTCCCGCAGGTAAGCAGAGCCTGCCTCTGTGTCCCCGGGGGGCTGCGTGCTGCACTCAACTTCCCACGGTGCCCGTACAAATGTTTCACAGCAAGAGGCAGGAAAATACTCTCCTTTGTAGTTAGAATGTAATGATCTTCGTAACTGGAAAAAGTCCGCTACCTAAACAAGGGTTTCTGCAGAGAGCAGCCCTGTGAAGTGACTGGAGGGTCAGCGGCCCAGCCTGTGGTCTGTCCCCCAGGGCCCATGTGGCACGACAGGTGCACCCAAGTCATTAGGGAAACGCAAATCGAAAGCACAGTGAGACACCGCCGACTCTCACTGCGGTGGTTAAACCGACGACAACAGGCAGTGGTGAGGGTGTGCGGCAGTTGGGGTGTACGTGGTGACGGGGTGGGCCTCTGGAGAACAGGTGGGCAGTTCCTCCACGTTCTGCCTGGAGTCAGCGTGTGGCCCAGCAGCCCAACTCCTGGATGTCAGCTCGGGGGAACCAAGCGCATGCTGTGTCCACGAAGAAACTTGGCGTGTGTGGTTGCGGTGGCCCCAAAGTGGACACAACCCAAATGTGTGCATCAGCTGGTGAGTGGATAGGTAATAAGAGGGTGATCACAGAATGAATAGGGTCAGTGGTAGAAGGGGTGCAGGTTCGGTCCCTGCCCTCGGAGGGCCTTGCAAGCATCGTGCTGGGGGTGACAGAGGCAGACACAGAGGCCGTGTGCTACACGACCTCCTCTACGGGAACTGTGTGGGGCAGGCACCTCCACTGGGCAGAAAGCGGGTCTGTGGGTTCCAGGTGTGCGGTGACCGCCGGTGGAGCAGCGTTTCCTCGGGGTTGACCATGATCCTCTAAAGCCAGCGGGGACGTATGGACCTACCGAAGGTGTGTTCAGATGGCAGTTTCATGGTACCTGGGTGATGTCTCAATGAACCCACCGTCAGGCAAAACGTGCGTGGCGTTAGGCCACTTGGCCGCTGGGTCTGTGTGTCTGAGGGAGCCACTCAGGTCAGCCTGGGGGCAGCAGGTGCTCCACCCTGCTGGACGGAGATTCTTCACATGTCAGTCAGGTCAGCTCGATGCACAGTCCTGCCGAGCACGGCTGCACCCTTACTGGTCCCTCGCCTGCCTGGTGGTGTCGGTCTCCAGCTCTGACAGTGCGTCTGCCATTTCTCCTTGTACTTTATCCGTTCTTGCCTCCTGTCTTGACACTGTTGTTTGGTTCATACCAGCTAANAGCAGGCGGCCCAGCCTGGCAGCTGCGGGGGCCCCCTGCGTGGGTGGTGCCAAGCTCTTAAGGGAGGGACTGAGCTCCTCTGGGGGAACCCAGCTGTGCTGCACACGTCTTGCCGGGGACCTGCGGTGGGCGGTGAGCGTGGGGCCCCTGGTGTGTGTGGGGTGCCATGCACCCGTGAGCCCCAGCCCCCATGGGGGTGAAGGCCGCTCTCCCGCCACTACCTACCCCCTTCTGCTCCCCCCTCCCCCTTCTCTCCGCACTGTTCCTTGGTCTCTGTTCTCACCCACTAGCATGTAGTGGCCTTGGCCTGTTTAACTTTTTGTACTAAAATTGGTGTCTGGCATGTTGTAGGTGGAGTCTGACAAAGCAGACGGCTGTGTAACCGCTTTTTGCAGAAAACATACGTTTTTACTTGTATGATGTCACTCCTTGTGTTTCCTGCCAGAGAATGCTGGGAATTCCAAGGGACAGTTTGCGTGGCCCTGCTTGTCCTGGTTTGTTGAGCACTTAGAGAGAGTGCCATGCAGCCCAGGGGCTGGGCCCAGGTGCGCTCCGGGGTCAGGCAGGGCTCAGGCGCATGTCCTTCTCTCTCTCAGGCCGGATCTTGGACCTGAAGACGGGGACCGTCAAGAAGGAAGGGCAGCAGTCGTCCATGAGGATGTGCATGGGGTCGCGGAGGTCCTTCATCTGCAGGATGAGGTCTGCGTGGGGCCCCGCGGGCTGAGGCTGGGCCGGCCACCCTGTCCTGCTTTGCCATGGAGCCTTGGTGGGCTCTGTGCAGACCCCCCCAGGCTGGCACAGACCTCCTGCTGGGGCCTCTTGGCTGGGGCGTGGGAGCCCACCGACTCCTGGGTCTGACTGGGCAAACCTTCGGATGTTCAGAGCCTGGGGTGCTGCGAGCGGCTCCCGGAGAAGGCGCCTTAGAGACCAGGGCCCTCCTCTGTACCCGCTGGTCCTCAGCCCCAGCAGCGATTCCCAGGGCCAGGGCGGGAGGGAGAGTTTGCACGGCCAGGAAGCTGGAGCCTATGAAGGTGCCTCTGTTGACCAGCTGGCAGCATCCGCTCTGAGTTGCTGTCTGCTCAGGCCTGAGAGGCCGCATGCTGTGGTCATGCCTCCCTTGTGTCCTGAGAGCCGGCCAGTCACCCTGAGTGGTCCGCGGGACTGAGCACGAGCAGGGCCCTCCTCCAGCCTTCCCATAGGTCTCCCTTCTGGGCTGGGTCCCGAGACAGTTCCGGTACATACTGCAGAGCGGTCACACTGCCGGTGATGTCCGGAATCTGGGGCACGCAAGCCCACTTCTCTGTGCCCGAAGGAGATTGCTGTAGGGCCACCTGAGAAGGTGTGCAGGCAGCAGGCAGGCCCACCCTCCTGACTGCGGCACTGTGTGTCCAGCCAGCTGCCCGGGTCTCATTCATTCTCACTGTTTGCCAAATCCTAGGTGTGGAAATGCTCCTCTGGACCACCTTCCTCTGAGCAGAATCACCACCATGAGAAAAAGGTTCAGGTCAGTAGCCTTTCTGCTGTGTTGTGGGCTCTGCTGTGGACAGCTGGCCTGTGCCAAGCTAGGGAGTAGCCGGGCCTGCAGAGGGCCTCCGCATCAGGGTGGGAGACATGCATATCCAGGCTGCAGCAGGGCGATGGGGAGGGCGCTGGGCGGGGTTTAGTTTAGTCTCTCAGGCCTGGGTGGAGGAGGGAAAATGGGACAAGGTGGATGAGTGGACCCAGTACTCAGATGCCAAAGGGTCACAGACTGAGGCCTGGGGGTCCAGCACAGGCCCACGGATGCTCTTTCTTTAGGAACGGCCTCGGACCTGTGAAGGAGGGAGAGGCGCAGTACGCTGTGGTGCACTGCACGGGGTACATCAAGGCCTGGCCTCCCGCAGGTAAGCAGAGCCTGCCTCTGTGTCCCCGGGGGGCTGCGTGCTGCACTCAACTTCCCACGGTGCCCGTACAAATGTTTCACAGCAAGAGGCAGGAAAATACTCTCCTTTGTAGTTAGAATGTAATGATCTTCGTAACTGGAAAAAGTCCGCTACCTAAACAAGGGTTTCTGCAGAGAGCAGCCCTGTGAAGTGACTGGAGGGTCAGCGGCCCAGCCTGTGGTCTGTCCCCCAGGGCCCATGTGGCACGACAGGTGCACCCAAGTCATTAGGGAAACGCAAATCGAAAGCACAGTGAGACACCGCCGACTCTCACTGCGGTGGTTAAACCGACGACAACAGGCAGTGGTGAGGGTGTGCGGCAGTTGGGGTGTACGTGGTGACGGGGTGGGCCTCTGGAGAACAGGTGGGCAGTTCCTCCACGTTCTGCCTGGAGTCAGCGTGTGGCCCAGCAGCCCAACTCCTGGATGTCAGCTCGGGGGAACCAAGCGCATGCTGTGTCCACGAAGAAACTTGGCGTGTGTGGTTGCGGTGGCCCCAAAGTGGACACAACCCAAATGTGTGCATCAGCTGGTGAGTGGATAGGTAATAAGAGGGTGATCACAGAATGAATAGGGTCAGTGGTAGAAGGGGTGCAGGTTCGGTCCCTGCCCTCGGAGGGCCTTGCAAGCATCGTGCTGGGGGTGACAGAGGCAGACACAGAGGCCGTGTGCTACACGACCTCCTCTACGGGAACTGTGTGGGGCAGGCACCTCCACTGGGCAGAAAGCGGGTCTGTGGGTTCCAGGTGTGCGGTGACCGCCGGTGGAGCAGCGTTTCCTCGGGGTTGACCATGATCCTCTAAAGCCAGCGGGGACGTATGGACCTACCGAAGGTGTGTTCAGATGGCAGTTTCATGGTACCTGGGTGATGTCTCAATGAACCCACCGTCAGGCAAAACGTGCGTGGCGTTAGGCCACTTGGCCGCTGGGTCTGTGTGTCTGAGGGAGCCACTCAGGTCAGCCTGGGGGCAGCAGGTGCTCCGCCCTGCTGGACGGAGATTCTTCACATGTCAGTCAGGTCAGCTCGATGCACAGTCCTGCCGAGCACGGCTGCACCCTTACTGGTCCCTCGCCTGCCTGGTGGTGTCGGTCTCCAGCTCTGACAGTGCGTCTGCCATTTCTCCTTGTACTTTATCCGTTCTTGCCTCCTGTCTTGACACTGTTGTTTGGTTCATACCAGCTAAGGATTTTTATGTCTTCTTGGAGAATTGATGCCTTTCTCATTCTGTAATGCCCTTTTTATCCCTGACAATTCTCCCTGCTCTGGATTCTGCTTTGTCTGAAATCAGTAAAGCCGTTCCAGCTTTCTTCTGATCCCTGTTAGTGTTAGTATGGAACAGCTTTCTCCATCCTTAGGACCCGACTGTGTCTTTATGTCTAAAGTGACATCCTTGTAGACAACACGTAGTTCGGTGCAGCGTTTTTATCCACTCCGACCATCTCTCTCTCCACTGGTGTATTTGAACCACTCACGTTTAATGTGATAATGTATAGTTTGGTTAACGCCCAGCATGTTTGCTGTCATTATATCTGTTCTTTGCTCCTTTTCTCCCCCCTCTTTCTTTTCACCTTCTCTGTTTTCATTGAGCATTTTATATGATTTTATTTGCTTTCCTCTCTTAGCACATGAATTATATTCCTTTAAAAATATCTTAATCATGTGGCGTAAGTTTGAAATACCGATTTAAATCCACTTTGAGTGACATTAGACCACTTCATGGGCAGCGCAGACCCTCATGGTTCGCTCTGCCCTCCTCCCTCCAGCCTCTGAAAATATCGTTCTCGCCCACTTCACTCAGCCATGGGTGTCACCGCCCAGACACTGGTGCTGTTTCCATTTCGAACAAGCAGAAATGTCTTCATGCAGTGAAGAAGAATACAGATAGAAGATTCTATTTCCCCTTAGTTGATTCCTTCTCTGGCGCTCTTCCTTCCTTTATGCAGATCCGAGTTTCTGACCTACGTCATTTTCTTGGGAGATACGAGATAAGATCTGCAATCCCTCAGGACCTGCCGCCCATTCTGTGCTGCTCTGAAGCCGCAGGAGGTCTAAGCCTGCAGGCTGGTCCTGCCAGGGGCCCTGTTGCTCACTCCCCAGCGTGGCCCATCTTGCCTGAACTGTGCCCCTCAGATTCTGTCCCAGCTGCTCGTCTGATGGTGGGGGTCCTGCCTGGTGTCCGGTGCTGACGTTCTTTTGCTCAGGCTCTGGTCATTTCCACAGCGACTTGGAGGGACGGGAGGTTAGTTAGCGAACTGACCTCACTTGGCTCTTTTGAGTCCAGAGCACCAGTTGTACCTCCAAACTCTGCTTTGCAAAATAGGGCGTCCATTTCTTTAGGTCCATTTCTTTAGTCACCAGCAAACTGAAATGCAAACTGCCTGCAGGTCAGCATTTCCCCAAAATACCTTCCAAGACCCTAAGTCCCCAGGGGAACCCACGGGAGAAGAGCTCCTCCCCCAGGTTGCAGAAGGAATTCTCTGAGCAGGTCTACAGAGAGGAAGGCTCTGTATCTTAGTTTAAACCATGCTTCCCGAACGTATTTGGCCAAAAAAACACTTTTTTTTTTCTTTTTGCCTAAAACTTATTAATACTCCTCAGAGAATATTTTGGAAGCATGGTGTGAGCAAGTGGCCTGAATTGCTTACAGGACAAAGTGGTTATTTTCTTGCCCGCGTTTGGTGGAATGCAAAAATATGTCTTAATTTGGATGTGAGGATGTTGAGTCCCAGGGCACACCCCACCCAGTGCGACTGAGAACCAGCCCAGTGTCCCGTGAGGGCCTGCACAGAGTTAATGCAACCGCGGCGAGGAGTGGAGACGTACTTCCGGCCGAGGCTGAGTGTCCAGTTACATTCCGTCTGTGTGTTGTTTGTGTCACTCAGGATTTATTTAGACCTGGTGTTCGTGAGCAGTGTTTCCAAAGACAAGGTAATTTAACGTAGAGCTAAACGGGCTTGTGAAACCTATTAGGGAATTGTTGAAATCTGTTAAAATCGTTGGAATTGTCCTCTTCCTATTAGAAGCTACTTTGATAAATGGGGCAGTGCCTGCCAGGAAGCCTTCCCTCCTGGCACCGCTCCTCCTGGCCTGGCAGCCTCCCCACGGCCGTCTGTTCCTTTCTGTGTTAGGACACTCACCGCGTGGCACCATGACCAGCTGGCTCTCTGTCCGTGCCAGCTCTTTGTGAGCAGGAACCCGGCCTCGGGCATGCTGACTCTTTTGTCTCAGCACGGCCCTGGGCACTTAGCAGGAGCTCAGAAAGTGTGTCCAGTTTGACTGGTCATGTGGCTCAACTCGGACCTGGCGTTGGGACCACAGAACGTCAGCACCTGAGAGCCCCTTGAAGGGTGTCTCAGGCCAACGCTCCTCTCTGTGGAGGGGCCCCTAAGCCCTGCAGGTTCTGTGTCTCCAAGGACCCTGGTGTCTCTCCTCTGCCCCGGGACACAGCCCGAACCCCGCAGAGGAAGCCTGCAGCCAGGCAGAGCTCGCGAGAGGCCAGCTTGGCAAGGGGATGACCCTCCCTCTTCGGCCCGTGCTGAGGACGGCCCCGTCGGCCTCACCGTGGGGATGAGAACCGGCTGCACTGGGCGCCACGTGCCAGCTCTCTGCTCAAAGCTTAACGTGCATGTTCCCATCCGGCACCTGGGGCAGCCCTGCGGAGTAAGACCGATGGGTGTTACCGTTTCATGGATGAGAACGGTTGTTAGTCCCTGTGTGGAGCTTAGAGTGGCCAAAGGACATACATGGTGGGGACAGGGCTCTGCCGGTCAGTCAGTGGGAGCCCTGAGTCACCATCGAGCCACCCAGTCCCCATGGGCTTGTCTTCCGTCTCTGGTGGTGCCGGGTGCAATGACCATTTTCCCTTTAAAGCGGCCTTTCCTGGAACCAGTTCTGCCACCCGATGCACTCAGTGTGGAGCCTCCGTTGGGGCGGCCTCTCTGAGTCCTTGGCATCCAGAGAAAATCTTGTCATCACCATATCAAATACAAAGAAAATGTGTGCCTTCCTAGACTGAGGGCTGTGTGCTCTGAAAAATTCCCTCCAAAGGATACAAATGGCTTCTTAGCTCCACGTGCTTAGGCCACGGGCCACTTTCTAAGAGGCCCCCGTGGTGGCCGGTGTGCTGTGGAGAGGGGCATCAGGAGAGCCCAGCCACCTGCAGCAGGAAGTCATTCTATCCTCCGCCAGGAATGCTTCCCTTCCATGGCGTTTATCACTTCCTCACTCTCGGGAGCTTTACTCGGCTGGGCTTCTCTGAACAGGTCCCGAGATGTGCTTTTCAGGGACTAGAGTCACTAGCATCCATTTCCCAGGTGGAATGAGTGGCCCTGAAATTGAGGACCTGTGGGGACTTTGAGGTTTTTTGAAAAGGGGCTTGAAATAGGGTCAGGGCTGTGCTTTGGAGAGATGAAAGTGGTGACAGGCCAGGCCTGGTCAGGGAGAGGCCGGCAGGAGAGGAGGGAGCGTGGGGTGTGGACGCACGGAGAGGGGAGCCGGTGCAGGAGGGCGGCGTGGAGGCAGCCGCGTGCGTGGCCAGGGCTGGCAGAGGAAGGAGCGGACTCGGGGCAGGCGGTCGCCGCCAGGGAGGTGCCGCATGGCAGCAGGTCACGGGGCCTGCAGGAGGCACACGCCAAGGGCACGGGGCACAAAGAACACAGTTCCCAAGGATGAGTAGCGGGGACTCGCCTGGGAGCCGGTCCGTGTGAGTAAGGTGGGCCCAGGTGGGTGGAGGCTGGTCGTCACGGGGAGGAACGCGGAGCAGGAAGGAGCAAGACACAGACTGTGGGGGCGATGCGCTGGTGGCGTGTGAGATCACGGAGCAGCCCTGGAGCCAGGCCCCCCGCGCCTGCAGCAGAAGCGCTGGAGCACCAACGGGGCCCCCGACGGGACGCTGACAGGTGGGCCTGGACACAGCCTGTCCTCTGGATGTGTGTTCTGCCAGACTGGGCGTTTTCAGCTTCTAAAAGCTGGAAGTGGGGGAGAAGCCAGCCAGGGCAGCATGCCGTTGTGTCCGCAACGTTTTGTCACTGAAGGCTGGCAACAGCAGCCAAGGCCCACAGCTATGGCAAGGGGGGTTAGAGGCGCTGGCTTCTTCCGCTGCCTTTGGAAACCCGTCCCCTTTGCACTGAAATTCCCCCTCCCCTGTCAGAAAGATGACAGGGACGCAGAGTCTCCTAGTGGGCAGGGGTTGGGGTTGCATTGCCCACCCCTCTCTCTGCTGGTGCTGAGACCCAGGCCTAGAGAGGGGTGGGCCCCCTATTCCTTTCCCTACTTCCCCATGAAACCTCAGGGCGGCTTGACTGTTACAGAGACTCAGCTAACTCTTTGTTTATAGATTACGATTTACTGGAAATGAAGCTCTGTCTTCTGAGTCCAAGTTTATACAGAAAATACCCATTTACAGCTTACCCTTCAGGCCAGAGAAGATGCAGGTTAATTTTCATGATTTAGTGGCTGTTAATTTGGAAAGAAATGTTGCATCTCTGCCAAATGTTTTGGAATTAAACTGCCACCGTAGGGCACATTTTCTCTCAATCTGGTGATGAAGAGGCGGAGTTCTACAGCCTGCACATAAGTACCCCATGGTCCTGCTTCTGGCACCGTTGGAGAAAGAGGTGCTCCCCTGCCCCATCAACTTTCTGCACTCCCCTGCCCCATCAACTTTCTGCACCAAAGTCCTGGTGTCAGGCTCTGCTTTGGGATGAACCTGAGCCGAGGTTCCCACTTGGCCAGTTGCCAGGAAGACTAGGGTCTGAACTAGGTTCGGTCCCTGGAACCTAAAGAATGGTAGGAGGCCGGTGGCCCCTAGAGCCCTTCCCCACTGACAGCCGAGATGATGGAAGAGGATGGGGGTAGGAGGGGCGTCAGGAGTGGGCGGGACAGCTCCGCCCAGGCAGTGTTCCTCTCGGCCTCCCTTAAATGAGGCTGTTCATCACAACCTGCGTGGACCTACCAGTGAGTGAGGACACGAACCGTGCGTTAAATCTTCTAACAAATTTGATCTTTGTTTTTCCTTCTTGCTGGAAGCATAACTCTGTTGTGATTTTTTTTTTTTAAAGCTAAACCAAGGGCACTCTGATTATGGAGAGATGGGAGCACGACTCACTCACAACGTGCTTCCTGAATTCACTTCCAGGGTGCCAGTAAACCAGCTTCCATGGTCTCCAGAATAGAGGCCGTGAGCAGGCTTGGCAATGATCATACCTAGTGCATTGTGGGAAACTCATTTTAGGGGAATAAGGCAATCAGGAGCACATTCAGAAAACTGACAAGGATACAGGGAGGCTTAAACCATTTTAAGGGGAAGAACAGTCAAACCGACACAAGGATCCCTGACCTACAAAGGAGCAGACCCAGGAACACAGTGCATTCACGTGTCGGAAGGACAAGGCCAGGAGAGCGTGTGGTCCCAGGGACAAGTCTAGGGCCAGCAGACGGAACGGTTCAAAACCCCATTCACCATGACAATGAAGAAAAATTGAATATTTAGGAATAATTTTAATACTGCAAAGTACAAGTATATATGAGGAAAACTTTTAAAAACTCCTGGAAGACACAGAAACAGACCTAAACAAATGAAAAAACATCCCCAGTTCTTGGTTAGGACAACTCAACGTTGTAAAGATGTCAGTTCTCCTGAAGTTTATAAATTTAATACAATCCTCATAAAAATACCAGCAAGCTATTTTATGGAGCTAAGTAAGTTGGTATTAAAGTTCACGTGAACAAAACAAATATCTAAGAGTAGCCAAGAAAACACTGAAACACTGTTAAGGGAGGAAGAGCCCTGCCAGATTCTAAAACACACAGTAAAGCTTCTATACTTACATTGCTTTGTAGCGATGCTTAATAGATAATTGGCCCATGGGATAGGGGAGAAAATCCAGAATTAAACCCAAATACATATAGGAATTTGTTATATCATAAGGATGACGTCTTAAATCATTGTATTTTTAATTTATGTCGGTGGGGCAACTGGATAGCCATTTAAAAGAAGATAGAATTACATCCATTTGTCACACCATACACAAAAATAACTCCAAAGGGA